TGCACACACACGATAATATGCAGATACGACGACGTTATGCGTTTTATAATAAAAAGAAAAAATATGATATAATCAGAGAAATACTTTGGAATATTCGATAAATGAGACCTTGGAGGAACAATATTCGATAAATGGGACATAATTTTTACATGTCGATAATAAAAACGTGGAAGGCATTTATTTCTTTAACTGCATTTATGAAAAATACGAGTAATAAGTGAAGGTACAAGTTCCGAAAATACAAATTCAAAAAGTCACAGAGAGATATCCTACGCGAGATCTAATGCCTATAATTATCCTCGTAATCCCTAGACTCTTGTAATTCGTACATTCTTCAAAATCGAATTTTTACCGAGGTCACGTAGCTGTACTTCGTTTACGCGAACTCCATTCGTTCGCACGAAACTGTAGGCAGTGCGCGATTAAACGAGCCGTTACTGGCTGAATCTACTTACATCCGGACACGAGCATCCACTACGTGAATGAAAAATTATACGAACTCCGACCACATAAATCCTCTGTTTCATCCGACAAATTCGCGCAAATGAAGTTTCACTGTAATTGCGAACAGAAAATTCTGCTTGATATTGAAAAAATCTTGCAAAATTTCTTGAAGCACTGAACCTTGGAGATTGGGCGAAGTTTCGGTGATACTTCAGTTGAAATTTTTTTCTCATACGTGACATCGTAGAAATAATTGCGAGAAATTTGTGAATGTGTTTTAATAGCTTGGAGGGATGATAATCGGGAATTCGCGCTGGTTGAAAACATTATACGAGTGTGTATGTTTCTGGTATCTAAACTTATTGATAGAATAAGGTGTAGTTTTTACATTCGAAATAAAACAATTTATTAGTGAAAATATTAGTTGAAAATATTAGTCATTTGTACACATCACAAATTTTGTATTCTGTATAATATTTTCATGAATATAACTCGAAAATATTCATTCACAATGTATCATTACAAATATTGTGTTATTCTTTGGATATATTTTTCCATATCGTATGCATCTATAAATCTGGAGTCTGATTTGAATGAGAATTCCTTATGACGAAGTCATAAAGTTTAAAAACGAACGGATGTGTCGTATGTCAGGCACTGTTGTAATTCTTCATTTATCAAAAGTAAATACGGACATAAATGTTCACTACACTTGACAATAAATAATGTAATACAAAACGTCGAATAACTTAATGCTTCACGTATGTAACTTTGTACCAGAATTTGACCATCGTTTGATTCCAATAGTGAAGTATTTCAAAAAGATATTCCAAACCATGAGATGGAAGAAAAACTGTTTAAGTCTGCAATTATATTATAAGTGATGAAATACGTTATAAATAGCAGCACGAGGCGTAGAAGATAGAGTTTCAACGTAGAAAATAAATATTTACTTTGACGACCATTAGGCGAACATTATACATTAAAATTAGACATTAACATAAATAAATATGATTCAACAGAACATCTCGCCACTGTGAGACTGAAAGACTTCACATTTTTTTCCTGTATGAAGCACATGTTATATTCTTCCTGCGTTCTCTATTATATCGTTGGCTCGAAACATTCAAGAGAATCGAGTATCAGCGAGCGTAATTATCTATAACGACGTTAAGGTTTATAAACACACCGATGCGACAGAAAACATTCGAAAATATTAGAACAGAGCGATAAGTCACAAACATCGAACACTAAAAGATTACTTCCATTCTAAATTTTTCCTAAAATAGAAGCTTGACTTCTTTAACATTTTGATACTTCCTCTCCGTTGATAAGTTTTCTAACTAATGCTTATGAGTATAGAGGCAGCGTTAATTAAATAATACTATTCAGGAAGAGATAACGTATGAATAAGCATAAATATTCGCGGTCTCGTCGCAACCATTCTCAGCGTCAAAGGTCTGAATAGGAAGTATCGAAACGATATGCAAACAACATACGCGAGTATTAATAAACTTTTTATCAGTTACGTATATATTTCGAGACTCGACAGTGACTACGCAGTCAGTTATAAGCTGATAATGAGATCAAGTTTTATGTTATTTGTAAACTGAAAGATTGGCAAAGATTCACTGCGTAGAGATCGGATTTTACTCGCAAGACACAATAGTTTATCATATATATCTGAGGAGATGCGATTGCAAACGAAGAGTGTCAGATTTTCAAATTTTGTATTCGAGAACATTTGAGAGAGTTGAACTTCCTGTAAATACTGGACGAATCGTAAAAATCAAGTCAAGAGAGGCAAAGTGAAAAATACATAAATATTACATGATAAATTGATACTTGTATTCCTATCTATATTATCAATATTATCCAGCCGTAATCATAATTAAACATTGCATGCTCCACTCGAACTAATCTAATCCAACTTCTTACCACTGCACGATACTTGATCGCAAGTTGCCTAAGACGTACGTAATATGACGAAATATATAGAATGCACAAAGTATTGTGCTTTCGACAAAATACATAATACAAACAATAAACAGCATACAAAATATTCAAAAAAGTATAGGGCTTTCGATCGAATTATATTTTTTAGCGGACCTACAGTCCACTGATCACAGTTCTGTTATAACGAGCACGCAAAACAACCCATATTCAAATGTAAATATTTGCAGAAAAATCCGTGGTCCAACAATCACAGTCTCTGCCAACTGCATACACACATACACACGTTTCGCAATTTCGCTGCATCATTATGAACCAGCATACTGCATGGCCACACATGTCAGCAATTCACCATATCAAGGACTTCAAACTCTCTCCCACTCTGCCTCTTGTCTATCGTTTCGTCATGCACAGTTTATACTCTCGGTATATTAACACAAGACGAGTTTACTCTCAACTGCAGCATTCACTGTCAGTCGGCGATCGCGGTGGCTGCTGATAGGAGGAGCAGTTCGTTTCAGTTCTCGCTGGGTAATGTCATCATGTGCGAACAGACAGAGGACTGCCACGCCTGGCTTGGGCCGCTGGTCACCAAGTTGAGCTCTATTCTCGGCAAAGGTTTCGAGGACGTGCGCTACGAGGTGTCCATTCCAACCGATTCGTTCTTCATTTCGAATCTATTCTTCG